ACACAGCGTCTCCCTGACATGGCTGCATCAACACTGCTGTTCCTGAAACCACACCTTCTTTCTTTGCGTGCACATTTGGGCGGCATTATGCTAATATTTCCACATAGTGAGGTAGATATGTGGGGGCATGTTAGAATAAGTCGTTTTAGGTAGGTGTGTTTGACTCTTAACTTTTATAAAGAATATCTCTTTGGATTTGAGACTTTAGTCTTTGCAACTTTACAGATCTTCTTTATGCACCAAGAGCTTGTAACACTCCAAAGAGAAAGGAAAACTTGAAATCGCATCATATGACCCCTTTAATGTAGTGTTTACTAATTATAATTAAAATAATTGCACTTTTATACATTTTTATTTAATTTATTATACTTACAGACTGCACAGTTTACAGTAAAAACTATATATACTCACATAAAGTTAATGTGAATTGAAATTAGAATGAAATTATAATTAGATACAGGCACATATTGTTAATTACAGAGCAAAAGTACATGTTGTTTCCTGATATTCACAAATCAGGAAACATCACGTACTTTTGCACTGTAATTTTTGTAATACCCCAACGGTCCAGCAGGTGACTCTATTGCACACTATATGAACGACACAAATGTTTCATGCTTCCTGTCAGAAATTATTAGAATACTCGTCTTTTCCTTTCAGCTGATGATCTGTGTTAGAGGTGCTGAGAGTGTGTATGACCGCACATCCATGTCTGCCGTGTTCCTCGAGCGTGTGCGGCTTTCACCTGCTTGAAAGCTACTTGTTGAAATGTGCATGAAAACACAATGTGAGGAGGCGGGCTTAACTGCTCAGGGTGCTCAAATAACAAGCAGGCTTTCATTTGTCACACTGTCTTGGCTGGATTCAATGCTGGGAAAATAAAAAAGCAAAATCATGCAGTCATGTGTGTCCAGAGTCCAGTCTTTCCATTTCCATTTATAGTTATATAGTTGCTGAACATCTACTCACCCTCAGGCCATCCAAGATGTAGATGAGTTTGTTTCTTCACAGGAACAGATTTGGGGAAATGTTGCATTACATCAATTGCTCACCAATGGATCCTCTGCAGTGAATGGGTGCCGTCAGAATGAGAGTCCAAACAGCTGATAAAAACATCACAATAATCCACACCACTCCAGTCCATCAGTTAACATTGTGTAAAGCGAAAAGCTGTGTGATTGTATGAAACAAATCCATCAAGACGTTTTCAAACCTTCAAGCCATCACTTCAGGCCAAAATGGGTTCATAATACTGATTCATAATACTGATTCTTCTAGTGAATAGGTCAAAATCCACATACATATTTGTTTAGAATGTGTTTCTATCATATTTGGGGTTTTATACAAAAATGCATAGTTGTCTACCAATCTACAGGTTATTCTACTCATCTGTAATCAAATTTGGCATATATCTATGGAGTGTCATTACTTATAATCATCATAAACTCTGAATTCAATATGGCCACCTGAGGCCAAAGAAAATGGCAGGGTGTGGCATAATCTACTCACAGCAAGAAATCCTTTGAAAATTTCCTTCATGAATTGTATAAATCCTTAATGGCTGGTGGTGACTTGATAATTATATACTATTGGAAAATGTAAACATTGATGTACCCGTGCAACTGATAACACTGATACTCACTTAAATAGCTCACAAACCTATCTAAAACAACATTGTGTATTCCTGCATCTCCGGTCTCACCAAAAAGTATTGCAAAAATAATAATAAATGCACAATGAATATTTTTAATATGCATGACTATTTACGTATTCAACTGAACTAACATACGGTGGCTTCTGAACATCCTGGCCAACTCACATTAACTACTAGACGCCATCTTTTCATATTTGTTGAGATGATTTACTGCACAAAGAACAGATTTTTTTTCAGCACATTTTTGACTATTAAGCAACAGCAGCAAGTTGTTAACAGCCATCTGTCTTGACATGCATGCATATTCCTCTAAAAACATGTTTAATTGTTGTTATGATTATTAAGTAATCTGTATAAATTAAACTAGCTACCTTACTGTTGCTTAATTTGATTACTTAGAAGAAAAGCATCTTTAACTTACTGTACATCAGAACATATTTTATACAGCTAATATCGCTAATATTTTTCTAGGATGTAGGGGTTTATCAATGCATTGTAAAACGGTGTGTTTTTTTTTATTTATAGCTGTTAAAACAACTTGCTCAAATACAATGACAAAACACACTTGTCTGGAGAATCCACCGTTACAGCTAATATCGCTAATATTTTTCTAGGATGTAGGGGTTTATCAATGCATTGTAAAACGGTGTTTTTATTTATTTATTTATAGCTGTTAAAACAACTTGCTCAAATACAATGACAAAACACACTTGTCTGGAGAATCCACCGTCATTATACAGTTTAGTTGCCTTTTGTCTGAACGTATGACAGAATTCATAGAAATTATCTTAATCAAGTTTTGAAGTAGGATTCTGAAACCAACGTGCTTGACAACAAACATTTCTTGAATTGTGTAATACAAACTTGTGACTCCTAACAGCTATTGAGATAAAGTACATGAGAAGCGAGTTTCCTGAATTTCCCCATGTGACAACTTGCCCCGGTCTCCCTGCAGCATGTGTTCTGACATGTACAGTATGCACTTCCATGTAAGCCTTATCTGATCATGGATCTGCTGCGCGCGGTGTATTGTACCGATGTGAAGTGAATTCGGCAGATGGCAGTATCTGTCAGACGCGTGAGCGCCTCAACAATGACACTCGCAACACTGTAACACTGAAACATTCGAACGCGGTGCGCGCAGATACAATGTATCGAACCCGACAGATGCTGCCGAGCCGAGGCAGAAACGCCGACGAGAATTAAACCTGCGATGGCTCTCCATTTCTCTCTCACGTCTCTCGGGGAGCTCCAATCGCTCGCTACTCGAACCGACAGCTAATACTGCCAGGCACAGGCTGCGGCTGCAGCTGCGTGCGTTACACGGGGCTCATGGCGGAGTTTGTCGCCGAGAACTGCGGTGTCTCATCGCCGAGCGCTGGCGGGAAATCCGCCCAGCCCGGCGATGAGGCGGACGGCAGAGCTGCGAGCGAGGTGTCGGTCTCGAACGGGGACTGTGGACTGTGTGCACCCGAGAACCAGGGGCTCGAGACGGCCAACGCGTCTGTGGTGCTGGACGGCAAATCTGGAATACCACGGAAGGCCAGTATTATTAAGGTAAACGATCAACGCATCGGCGTTTTTCTCATTTGTGGGCTCTTTTTTGTGCCAAACCTCGCCCTGATACACGGCTACATCCACAGGTTTGTGGGGGCTTATGGTACGGATGCACAGAAATCACAGCCCACTGTGAACATGTCATTGCTGTTTCCTCCGGATCATGTGTTCTTTTCCAGCGTTTTGCGATTTCGTGATGTACATCAGTCAAGATGAAGTCACGTGCATTTCTTTCTTTCAACTAACTAGCTTCTGTGTGTCTTATATGACTAGTTAAGCAATCGGCTGTATCTTTTCAGGGATCTGTGGTTCACAGGTCAACTGTTCAGTCTAGTTGTTGCTTCTAATCCAATTTTAGTTAAAACTGCTCATTGTTTCCTCTGTTAACAACCCCATTAGCTACTGGTATCTATTGCAGCTTTACTAATACTTGTTAATGAGACAAATAACATATAACCTAACTGATATATTTTCTTATGTCACTATTAATTGCGTTTTGTGCTTGTCATCATTAATAGTAAAAGTGGAATATGCAGCAGCAGCTAGTTGAGTGAATAGTGGATTTCTGAACCACATAGAATTGCGTGGCAAGCATTGGTAATTTGTTACCAGTAGCATTTCAACAGTTAGTTATCAATAGTTAGCAAAGGAATATGTGCAAATGACTGTACTACTAACTATGTAGTTCACTGTAATGAATGTTGAAAAGACCTCACACAAATTACATTTTATGCCAATACATGTCGAAATGGACTCGTACGTCGCATTTTATGCCATTTCTTAATGCCAGTGCCGTTCCAGACTTGTTTAGTTCAGATCATATCTGTGATATTGAATCAGAATGTTTGACACATATTTATTGCGTGTATGCCATGGGTAAAGATACTGTTTAGGTCTCTGAATTTATGAAGCACAAGTTCTTCTTACTAAGCTTTTTATTGTTAATTGAGCAGTTGCACATCTTCTTCAAGGCCGCTACTGCTTTAAACATGTTTTTACAGTCTCTAGCGAGAGGCAAATTGACCGCCGTGCATTTGAAGTTTGGGATGAATTATTCCAGTGAATCTTCCAGGGGCCTCTAGCGAATTTGTTGTACGTTACTGGGAAATTTTGACCGTTTACTGTAGAAAGCTGTGACAGGAAATATTGCTCTACTTCCCCATGTCAACTGTTGTGGCACCGTTTTGTCAGTTCCATTTAAAGGTAAAGACTTTAAGCAGCACAAGTTTGCCCAAACAGACGGACAGATGACATTTTATATGTAGGTCATCATACGGTTGTCGAACAGAACCGGTCGGCCACTGTTGCTTGGTAGCTTCAAAACAGCTTCTTCTTTTACTCTTACTTTTATTTAGTTTTGGTGGCTCAGTAACATTTATATTTGTGCCATCTGTGGTCAAAGTCCTGTGCTGAAGCTGGCTGAAGGCAAGAATGTGACAAATGTCGGATGGCTTGTTTAGAGGAGAGCTTACATGTAGAAGAGGAAATGCTTTCCCTCAGCTAAATTTGTTTCACTCAGCGTTGCTTTTAGTTCCTGTGCCAACTAGGGATGTAACGATTCACTCAACTCACGATTCGATTCGATTCACGATTATTATAATTTTTTTTAACAAAATAAGATTGAAGACAAATTATAAATTAAATGTGTCCTTTTATTATTGCTTGGACAAAATGTTGCACATTTCTTTGTGAAATTGAAATATAACACTGCAGATTCACTCTCTGCCAGCAGGTGGCGCTTAAACCGTTTCCTGGTTTCCGCTGTAAACAAAGCAGCGCTGCACTTATGAACTTTAATATGCATTATACAGAGGCAAGATGAAAAGAAAAAATACCATCTAAACTTTTCTAAAGACAGTAAGTTCCCCTCAGACATACATTCATATAAACTCCTACACCTAAATGAATCGCGATTTGTTTAGCATCTCAACCGATTTGATTCGTCACATATTTGAAACGATTTTCAACCGGCTCGCAGTTAATCGTTACATCCCTAGTGCCAACTACAGTGTTTCCTGTAGAAAGATTTTCAGTGTGTTTCTCAGCTTAGTCAAATCATGTGGTTAGAACGATCATCTCAGGTGAACCACAGAGACGTGAACAACCTTCTGTAAGCATCATTATACTCACTGTTTCCTGCATTGTTTTCACAACAGGAGGCCTATTTTGGGTGTGACAACATACTTAACAGAGACTGTTATATATATATATATATATATAAATCATTAATTGAGTCAAGACAAAGTGTAACTTATTTCTGTGATCAAAGCTGAATTTTCAGCATCATTACTCCAGTCTCCAGTGTCACATGATCCTTCAGAAATCATTCTGATATGCTGATTTGCTGCTCAAGAAACATTTCTGATTATTATCAATGTTGAGAACAGTTGTGTTTTTTTGTGGAAACGGCAATATTTTTTTTCAGTGTTATTTGATGAATAGAAAGTTCAAAAGAACAGCATTTATTTGAAATTGAAATGGAATTAGTTTTATTTTTATTTTTTTTCAAAATAACTCATGAAAGCTCAAGAGAAATTGTTTTGTCAAGATCTATTTTGCTACATTAAGATCACAAGAAAAATATGTCTTGATCTCAAGAAAATAAGACTGAAAAATAATAAAGTCTGGTCTCCGTGGGCTTCCATATGTTTGAAAACACTTATTTCTACTATTTTTACATTTTTGTTAAGTCCTGCAATGGCCTTTGAAGTAGGGCTGTGCGATTAATCGAAATCGTCATAAAATCGTGATTTGAGCTTGCGCAATTTCTAAATCGCTTTATAGCACGATTTTCCGCGCCCCCGACCTCCCGCAGTATGCTATCCGAACCAATCAGAATGCAGCGCGCCTAAATGGAGCACGAGAACAGAACAGACCGGGCGGGCATACAAACGTAACCCCAGGTTCACAAACGCCATCTGTGGTGCGTATTTTTTCCGCGCCCATGTTAACGGATCAGAGCGTTCACACTGCACGCGATTGCGGTCCGGCAGTGCGCTCCAGGAGCGGTGCGTCTGCAGCAGTGCTGCGATCGTTTCCGCACGGAATCTATTTCTGCTGTGCTGCACGTGCTGAATTAAAGTGACAGCGCATTATTCGCGGTAAAAATTAACATGGATTGACACGGAAATTTTGTAATTACACCATAAATGCATATAATTAAAGTCTACTGTTTCACAGTCAACACATGGCTTTTTGGCTAGATTTAAAACAAGGAAAAGTGCACTTTTAGATAAGGCAATAATAGATGGCACTCGTGGTGGTAGTTAAACAGTTATATTTATTGAGTTTAAACGTGAATATGTCTATGAAAGATTGTATTACTGTACTGTGATAAAAGAGTATCACAATGCTGAAAAAGCATTTTCAGAAACAACGTTTGGATTTGAAATCAAAATAATGGATAAATGTTGTGTTTGTGGTAAACAGCCGCGGATCAGAGCGGACTGCAAACGCGTCCTGTGCGAAAGCAAAATGAGTCCGTGCTGCTTCTGCACCGCATACACATACTGTATACGCACTGCAGACAGAGCACGTGTGAACTTGGCGCTACAAATCTAGTTCAACATCTGAGGCAACGCCACAAAGAGCTCTATGCATGGCAAAAAAAAAAAATTCCCTGGATACGGGATTTTTTTTTCTGCCATATGTCTATTCTAGAGACATTTTGTTACACCTTTACTTAGTGATTATTTTGCTTTATGTCTGTTCTAGAGACATGTTACAGCTTTTTGATAAAGCTCTAATTGGTTTTCTTTTGGAAATATGTTTCAAATTCACACTGAATGCATTTATGACTGTAAAGCAAGTCTGTGTGTGTCAAAATCGTGATTAAAATTGAAATCGCAAAATTGATCAAAGAAATCGCGATAGGTTTTTTTGTCCATATCGCACAGCCCTACTTTGAAGTCTCAGTACCGCTGTTTGACACTGTCCTAATCTGATGAATGAATCAGCACTACATGTTTTCACATAAGATTTCACACAGCTTCAGTTCCATACTGGAAACTGACTGACATGTGGATGGAGTTGAGAGACGCTACCCAATCATTACGCTCAGAAATATACTCGCTTTTTTTGGTTCTGCACATGTAATGCATTGCACATGCATTAACTGCCACATCTCCATCAAGATCCATCATGTTAATTTGATAGTAATGGTAGTTCATGTAAATTCGGGCGAAACTGTTATTATGCCAATTTTCTCTCTGTATAAATTGCAATTTTACATTTCAAGATGCATTGTAGCTTTCAAGAACCAGTCGAACACCTGCGAGTTGGACACCGCAGGGGCTTTTGTAAGCATGCAACACAATCATTTTCTACCAGATTCACTTTGAACAAAGAATCAAAATGAAGTGGAATTTCCACCAGAGGCAGAAAGCGAATGAAAACGTCCAGTTGCATGCATTTCTGTGCAGCAGGTAGCAGATACCTGTGAGTAATTGCTTGTTGAAGTATTGTTGATGTCCTAATCTGCGGTTTGGTATAGCATGTTTTCTTCATTGCTGTCAGAGGATGTGGTTTCATCGTTAACATGACATGTTCTGTGAAAGTGTCTCTGAGGGGCGTAGGCTGCATTAAGGCTGGGGCTGAGTTCAGATTTAGAAACTAACAGCATTGAACCAGTGCAAGGTTATGAGGAAATTAGTGTAAATCACTTATTTGAGATGAAAACAATGACCTGACAGTAATTTGAGGGCATCCCTGTTACTATAATGAGTTGCTATTTTTATACTTGAGCAGTATAAAACCCCCTCGTCCTTAATTTAAAATTCTACTGACTGATAGCAGGTGCTGATATGAGTGTTGTTTTTACACACTATCTCTGCTGTGTTCCGTAGAGCCATTATTCTCTTTCATTTGACTAAAACAGCAGGTTTAAATGGCTGTTACTGCTGACGTGGGGATTGTGACAAAGAGACTATTCAGACCAGTCTGTGCCCTAAAAACACTGGCCGTCAGCCTTTTTCTCTTGCGTTCAGCAGAATGGAGTTGTA